AATTTAGCAGTGCAAGACTAGAGGGAAAGCAGCTAGTTATCACCACCCACCGGGTCCAACTCTTTGGCTACTCTTTTTCCAACGAATAGTGGGATTGACCATTATATTATTACGCCCCCAAGGCTGAAAGGGCGAGCATGTTTGGTGTGACGGGGATTCGAACCTGCGACCCTTAGATTGCGAGTCGAGCGCCCCTAACCACACCTCGTTGAGAACGAGTTAGTTTTTATTTTAATTCTATGACCTATTCAAATACTTTCAACTTGTTTTCTGAAATAGAATTTAGCCATAGCTTCTCAATCATTTCAGGAAAGAAATAACATAACCAGTGACATTGAAAAAGTTTTGATTAACACTTTTTTCATAAGTGATGTAAAATGTGTTGTTTTTTCGTGTAATACGTCTATTTTTTTCAGCTTTCCTAACCAACTTGTCTATAACTTTGATCAAATAAGAAAGGCACTGCATACGGAGTTCACGAATACATATTCCAAATTGTACAGAAATTTACCCAATCATATCTGTATAAAAAACTCACGAAGTTGGATGTATGAACATTTAAATACCAGGCTGTATTAGTGTAGCTTTGGGCAACATTGAAATTCTTAGATTTTCCCGTACTTTCTAAAATAAATTATGTTGAAATTAACGCCGAGTTAATGAAAACTTCACTGTCTTACTAAAGGTACTGCCCCCCCTCCCCCAGTGGCTCAGTGGTAAGCTTGAGGGCTTATACACTAAAAATTAAAGGTTAGATGCCTTTGGTGATCACAGCGCAGGTAGCCTATTGTATACCTTTGCGCTTAAAAACACAAACAAACTAAGTAATCACAATAATGGCTAACTATTTGTTGAAGAAACCTAACTCGCCTTAGCCTATATTGTGGGTAAATAACAAGTGATAAGCGCGGCATCATTTCATAATTAAAAGGAAATTAAAGACACACTGTTCATATTCGATATATAACTCAAACGTCGTTTGTGATGTAACTAAAAATTGGCCAAGAAAGTTTTAAAATATCCAATAAACATGTGATACTGACGGAATATAACAAAAATTTGCTT